AACTGTCACAATATTTGAACAATATGAGCATAAGCAGTTATGTTTATCGGTTTATATATGCGTATAGTTACATATAAATAGGGGGGATCCATCGATCTATGTAAGTAATGACCATAAAGCATATTCAAAATGTCTGCAACAACAAATTAGACCGAATAATCCCACTGACCCAGTCAACAGATATCTAAATTTGTTTAGAGGTAAACATATGACAATAACAGCTCACAAACGTGATTTGTATGCATCTTTCTAACCTATTTTAAAAGCCAACTGAGGAAATATACCTAATTTTTTTTAAATTTTCGGTTATAAGATATTATAAACCTCCTTTATGTATTTCTAATTACATTCAACTTTCTTTAGTAACAAAGTTTTAATAACATCACTGATTAATATACTATCCTTCTGTTTCTGTCTAAACACTCACGACTGCCAAAAAGCGATATAGGAACAAACTGAACATTAACTATTCAAAGCACATTCGAAGCACTAAAATCTTGTTCAAACAAATTAGCACCAAAAAACAATTATTCATTTCGAGCTGGTTGTGGGGATTTAAAAATATTTCAAGTTGTTATTCATCATAGACTGACATCAGTTGGAGGAACAGTGGGAACCTGGAAGCACTTCATAGCCATCTGTTTCATCCCAGTATGGGATTCCTCAGCAGTGTGCACCAACGACCTTCAGGTTCTGTGGCCAGCACGTTATGATTGAGCCACTGGGTTGAAATCCAGTGGTCCATATTTCCAACTTCTGTTAGCTCACGATATAGCGCAACCGGCACCCGATGTCATCGTTGAGTAACTGTTCTCACGATCATTAGGCTTTGCCCCCACCGGTCATGATTTCTCACTAGAACTTCGAGAATACCTCTCGAAGCTAGTCACAAATGAGCACCAGTTCAGTTGAATATTTCCAAATCCTCACAACTCCCTCATAATTTATGTTCTCCAAAGTTGTATCAAGATAACTACACAACTTTGAGATATCTTTGATATAGTCCTAATTTCCTCACCATATCCTATTGTGAAATTGTGAGTGTATGTGTTTGTGTGCATTTATAGCCATAACTTAGCATTTTGTAAATTCCTTATCTTACTAAAATTGACCAATTTTGACCTAGCTGGGTTTTTGTTCTTGAATAACCTAACTGACCCTGGTTGACTACGCAACTGTTGCAAGAAATTTGGTACACTAAATTATTCTGCTTGCTTTGATCAATAGGATCTTTTAACCTACAAAGCTTATTTCTAAGTGAGTTTGCAGGTTTATTGAGAATTTTACATAGTATCTCTGAGATGCCTACCATGTATGGCGATAGCTACGCATGCAATTACACTCAACCACACAAATAAATGGAACACTGTGAAGTTCCTTAGAACTAACACAGCAGGGTGGTGACTGAATCTTTGTTAATGGAATCAACACCTAATATATGTAACAGGAATGACTGAGCCCGTGATCTGGATACATGGAAAATCCTACTACTCATATCATAAACCAGGCGAGGAAATTGAGACTATAGTGTAGTTATGGACAACATAAATTGTGTATGGAACGTAATTCGGTAAATGGCAATACTATTCCTTCACTGTCTTATGTATCCGATGAAGCAATTCAAAATGAAAATCAGTGTAATTCATTTCAGGAAAGCAAGATTTGATTATTGTGAACAGTGAACTGATATGTGAAGTATTGTTGTGGAATGTCTCTGACAAGTTTATTTACCAGATATAAACTAATACCGTTCACAAAATTGATTCATTACAAATCAGTTAAAGGTTGTATTCATGAGTTGGAGAACCACTGGAAGCCTAGGAACACTGGATAACCGTTTCGTCCTAATATAGTATTCATCAGTAGTGTTGATTTCGGAAACTCCAAACAGTTCATAGTATGTTTTTGTTTTAAAATATGCTTCTTCATAAGATTGAATAGAATTATTCATTTTGACATTCATCATTCTATGGTGGGTCTACTACTGTGATACCAAGCTGTTGCCAGGATCTAGTTTCGTTTAAATTTATTTGAAGTTTAACTTAATCATCATGTAGGTGGAAGTTGCTTATTCATAGTTACCATCATACATACATCACCTATTCAGGGTTTATAACCTCAGTTACAATCTGAATGAACTTAACAGGCTTCTCAGCTGATGAAATTTTTATAATAGATCAAAGTTTAGATTTATCATGTTCTCTGAATCTATCGAATAAATCAATTTAAATGTTACCGAAAAATTATTTTTCAAAGATGAAATCATGATACAATATACTTGAAAATTTTGCCAGGCAATGGTTCATTAAAACTGACTAGACTCAATAAATTATGGTCACAATTACAACAGAAATGAAAGGATAGATTTATTATTATGCTCAAAATATTGTGAAAACATATACCCATCTTATTGATTATGATTTGACTATGTAAGATAGCTGTAGTTTGGCAGACTAGTATTTGTACTGGGTGATGATTAAAGGTGAGATGAAAATCTGAACCGCGGCCGGATTCTAACCAGTGACCCGTGGTCACTTGTCCGAATCCGGGCCGCGGTTCAGATTTTCATCTCACCTTCAATCATCACCCGGTACATATTACCCATCTATATATAAAAACAAATTCTTAGCCTATTAAGACGTCATTAGCTTCATCTGTAAAATTGAAATAAATTTGAGCTTTTAAGTAATTTTCAATGACCTTGAGCTATCTGAGCAGTATTCTTTATTTATCAGATGCTGAACAGTAAATTTTGTGTTCCTTCTGTACTTTTCTTTGTTTATTTACCTTAAATATTTTTACGCAAAGAAAAAGTATCCACTTAACTTTCTGCTCCTAGATCAACTTTTTAAAAATGTTTATTCATACTAATCACGTCCCGTTGCTATATTCGATCGAACTTCTCAAGTTGGTAGATGGGCTCCTATGCAGATGCTTCAATGCTTTTTCATATTCATCACAACAATCAGTGTTAATGTGAATTAGGTATACACCTAGATGCGTTTTTTTGGCTAACTAAGATTTTGCCCTATATATAAGTGAGTTTTGGGGTTTGTGGGGACTGACATCAGCTGGAGGAACATTGGAAACCTGAGAGCACTGGACAGCCATCTGTTACGTCTTAGTACAGGACTCCTTAACAGTGAGCAGTCACAACTCCGCAATCCCGGGGATCGAACTCAAGACCTTCAGGTTACATGGCTAGCACGTTACCATTCAGCCACTCGGCTGGAATCCAATGGTTTATACTTTCAAGTTCTGTCAGTTCATGACGTATCGCAACCATCACCTTATATAATCGTCGTCATGATTATTAGGTTTGCCACAAAAGTGATAGCAGGTAACTGAAAACGTATCATTGAATTCACTATTCGAGTATGCCCACTAAACAAATGAATAAGGAATTCAACTCAAATTTATTACATTCAAACCGTTTGGACCCTTCAGACTAGTGTTTATTTATCGGATCTAACTCCTCTCTATAGTTTCTTTGTGAGGTAAGGCCTATTAACACTAGAACATAGTGCACATCAAGGCTTTTTCTTGAATAAATAAACTTTAGAATAAATTCTCCTAACTCTTTTTAAGTACAAAGTGTTAAAGAGATTATTGATTTTCTGAAACCTAGACGGTTATACGTTCATACGCAATGAATTTATTATAATAGAGAAGGCAATATTATGCACTATGATAGAACTTGATTACGTTTTACATCGAATGGTCACTCATTGGTAACCAATTTCATGTTGTCTAGTCCCAAGTGGTGATTGAATTCAATCCATCATTTCGGAATTTAGCGACAAGGCTAAAAGACTCAACAGTACCATGATACACTTAGTTGAATGGAGGCAATCGATAGGAAGCCTTGGACCTGAGTTTCGTATTTATTGGCACTCGCCAGCAAGATGTATCTGAAATCCCAAAGGAACTGATGTCCTGCGGGAAATTCAAACCTGCGTCACTCAGTGCTGCAGACAGCCACGTTACCACTAAGCTATTCAGGCTGCAGCTGACCTCCTACAGCCACGTGAGGGTAAGCAACTTAATGTTTTCTAGTTCTCAGTACTGACTGAATTCTATTCCGTATCTGGTAATGTGTCTACTACATTTGGCAGCTCGGCGTGCCGATGTAATTTGGTAGATGTTAGTTGAATGCAGGCAATCGACAGGAAGCTTTGGACCTCAGTTTTGTACTTATTGGCATTCATCAGCATGGCGCGTGTCAAGTTTTGTGTAGAGAAATCTATTACAACTATTTTCAGATACAGGAAAGTGATTTTAATTAGAATACTGTTGATATAACATTTGTTGTATTATTGAAATGGTTAGTAGAATATTTCAGTGAGATCTCTTCAGAGATTTGTTGGAAGATGATTATTCCTTCTTCAGTTATCTACAGTTGAATAACCCTCGAGAACTTCATATGAAAATGGTACAAAATGTAACAAAGTAGATTAAATCCGTTTCTTACTACTTGTTATCAACTTAGGATGAATATATGATAACAAGAAATGTAAGCCTAAGAAAGATGAAACAGTTTTACCCTCTATAAAGTATACATTATCAGTCAAATGAATCTCCTTTATTATAAGCCTTAATTAAGAATAACTTAGCAGGCATTAAACCTACAATAATGACGTTTTAATTTATAAACAGTCAATCATAATTTATTCAATATTTTTGCATACTTTGATAAATCCTATTGTCAATAAAAATCACAAAATATTTTCACCCTGTCAATTTTTTGTTCATTGAATTTTTATTTTTACTTCTATTGTTACTATTTAAAAGTTTAGAGAGAATATTTCATCTCATTAAATTTATATCCTTTTTTTTCCATAGTTTTATCAATGAAATTCTACTTGTTTTTCTACTACTTACTAGTAGTAATATGGTTACTATGTATACCGAATAATAATAGTAATAGTTGAATAAAATCAATAACAATTTGATTATTGTATCATTTTTCCTGTCTACTAATCATCATTGGTAAGAACCAACAGTAATCAAATTTTCATGAAGGTAAATAATAGACTGACAGAAAGACATACATAGTACATATTTTGTAATATAATAAAACTCTAAAAATAATCATAATCTACACAAAGTGAGTTAAATTAGTTACTTTGAATTAAATTATAACAATATGCCAATTGAACAAAGATTGTATAATACTTCATCACATCCAATTAATGAACGTAAAGCTGTAATTAAATATGTTGAGATGAGTAAAGAAATGCAACAAGATGCTGTACAGTCAGCAGCAATAGCTATTGATAAATATCATGATGATAAAGATATTGCATTATTTTTAAAAAAAGAATTTGATCGTAAATATGAACCAACATGGCATTGTGTAATTGGTAGTAAATTTTCAAGGTAAGATATTAATTCACTCTATTGTTTCTTATACAATCAACTTTTTTTGTTTTTTAATTATTTTATAATAGCCTTTACTCATAAGTAAGAGAATATATTCATTATCATCTATCAGATAGCTTTAAACCTAAAAATTTTAAGAATTTTTTTCGAATACTAATAAACAATATTTTGGATAAGGGTGTATCTTTTACCTTATACAATGAATCATACTAATTAGGTGACCAAATTTGTTCAAATCATCCAGTCGATTATTGGTTAGGATACCTTCAAAGAATACTTTATCAATATATTATTATTATTTGTCCTTTGGGTTCCTACTGGAACATACGACTTCAATAGCACGTCTCCAGTGCACTCTGTTATCTGCAATCTTTTCAACCTGGCTTACAGTGCCTTCCTTGTGGCTTATTCTTTCTGGTAATCCATCTGATCCTCACTAACGAGCAAGTGTAGGCAGTTGTTGATAAATATCTGTAGTTTGTTGGAAATGCTTTTCGTAACGCACCAAGTCTCTCAACCATCACATAGAAGCACTGACTCACTTGACTGGCATTAGTGTGGAAAATGCAGATGTTGTTGACGCTTTGTCCTGAGTGCAGTGAAACAGATCTCCATACTGGTTTAAGGTTATTCAACGCCTGTCTTACTGTCTTTCCGATCCTCGCTGGCTTTGACGTCCTCACCTGTTTATGCTGCCTGTAGTTGAAACAGTGACGCATGCCTAGATAGGTGGAAGAGACTGCTTCCTTTAAGTCTCTCTCATTTATGCTGATTGGAGTTTGTTGTTGTTGTTGTTGGTGGTGGTGGTGGTGGTGGCGTTGCTTTGGTATCTTCATCACCTCTGTCTTCTCTATGTTCACTTGAAGCCCCATCTTCGCTGCCCTGCCTCGCCTCTCCTGTCAGCTTGCTGATTTTGGCCGGTAGATCTTCGAGTTTCTGTGACAAGACATTAGACACAAGTCATCGGCGAAATCTAAATCTTCTAGTGTTTTTTTTATAGCCCCAGCCAGAGTATGCCATCTTCTCGCTTCTCACTGTTTGCTGCATGATCCAGTCCACCAAAATCAGAAAGATCATGGGTGATAGTAGGCAGCCTTGTTTTACTCCTATCTTCCCTTCAAAAGCATCACTGAGCTTCCCATTGTGAATTACTTGGCATGTGGCATCTTCATATAGTTGTTGAATGAGATTGATAAACGTTTGTGGTACTAAAAGCGTAGTGTTGAAGTACTTGCCAAATTACTTCTTGGTGGACGTCTTGATCGAAGGCCTTTTCAAAGTCGATGAAGTTGAGGTAGAGAGACTTTATCAATAATTTATATGTATTTCATTGGCTATGCTGTTCACTTTAAAATGTCTACAACAAAATATTTTTGAGTGTAATTGCTCAAAAAGTCAATCACTTTATAAACTTTAAAGTGTAATAACTGTATTGCTTAAAAACGTATGATATAATGTCATATAAATAGAATTATAAGCAATAAATATGCTTGAAAATATTACTGTACGCTATTTATAAGCGTTTCAATAAATAGTTTCAGAAAGAAACATAGCGTAATGTAGAGTAAGAGACTGGAGGCAATGATAAGATATCTCACATACTCATAGGTTTAAAATACCTCCATAATTTGACATAATTCAAACAAATCTAAAATGGCGTTATATCAAACAGAAAGATCTGAACTATAAGTAGTTGTAATCACAAAAAGATCAATTGAGTTCCATTCAATATAAATTATATTCACAGTATGTTTTATTAGAAATGTATTTGCTATTATAAAATTTTGTTTGTTTCAATCCTTCATGGAGTTATTAAATGACCTTGAAAATGTCCACGTTTTAAATGAATAAACACTGTATCCATCCAATGTATAATAACTACATGAATAGCTCTGTATTATAATGAGTAAATTTCACCTTTCTATTTTCTTTCCCCTTTAAATATTTCAGTTATGTGACGCATATAAAACAATTCTGTATTTATTTCTCTCTTGAAGATCGTGGAGTTCTACTGTTTAAAACAGTTTAAGTTATGCAACAATTTTATCCATCTAACCAGAGGTTGTATTACCTGTAATATTAACCTCATAAACAATATAAGTTGACAGAATAAATTTGATTTTATAAAAATCATGAAACTTTTTGTTAATTGTATACTTTACTTATGTATAGTTTTGATGGGTAATGGGTAGCAGTGGAATCCAGGATGCACATTTCTTCCTATTTGGAACTCACTGGTCAGCTAGATGTACCTGCTACCTCCCAGTGAGTGATGTTGTTCCCACCGAGATTCGGACTCGGGAGTGGTTGCTTCAAACGTGAGAGCGTTATTCACTACACCACCGAGCCACAATGGCCACTTCTTGTGCGACGAGTATAGTTTTAGTGTTATCATTTGTATAACACCGTCGTTGATTGTACTGAATCGATCAGTCTCTGTTGGCATATGGGCTGTTTTGCAGATACCTCGATATTGCCTGTGTTTTAATTATGTATAGTAATGATGGGTGTATACTTTACTATTAAGTACTGAAGTTCCGTTTGATGTTCCTTAGGACATTAAAATTAGTACTTATCGAGAACTGGCGGCTTAGTAGAAAAAGTGTCTTCGAAATACTAAAGAATACACCTATAATAACAAGATTTTAATTCCAATAATGAGATGAAAACGTTAGTGATTTGGGTTGTTATGTAACAAATAGTATTAGTTAGAGTAATTGTTCAAAAAGAACAACAGCTTAGTAGAATAATTATTTAATAATATTCAATTACAAATAAATAAAGTAAATGACGACATTATTTGAACTTTGCGCCTTCATAAAAGGCCAACTTTCATAAAATTATTGTATAATTTAGAAGTGATATTCATCATGGAGTGACATCAGTTGGGGAACCATTGAAAATCTGGGAGCACTGAACAGCTGTTTCCTCCAACTATTATTGGACTCCTCAGCAGTACGCACCCACGACTCGGTTGCATATAGAACTCACCACCTTTGGGTTTCACAGCGTACGCGTTAACCATTCAGCCACTGGGTTGGTTTCCAGTGGTGTCCTTGGGTGACAGTCGCTCTATGTCATGAATTGACAGAAGTTGGAAATTGTGAACCACTGGAAACCGACCGAGTGGCTCATTGCTTAACGCATTCGTCGTGAAACCTAAAGGTGGTGAGTTCGATTCCAGGTTGGGTGGTGGGTGTGTACTGCTGAGGATTCCTATACTAGTTGGAGGAAACAGGTGTCCAGTACTCCCAGATTTTCAATAATTCCCCAACTGATGTCAGTCCATGGTGAATACTACTTCTAAATTAAAAATCCCCTTTCATCTCAAAAATGCATTATTGTACCATATTAAATTTAGACACCGCCTTACATAATCAATATACTACACTTCAATGTAGAACTTCGATCTGAAAATTTTCCCCCATGTGCAACTACAATCAAATGATAAAATTAATAGGCATCAGTATGATAACCGAAATAAGTGAAACAACAACTTCATAAAAATAACATGCCATCAAAATAAAAGTTTAATTCAATCAACAACAAACAAACTAACCAAGTTGTGGGGCGATTATTTGAGCGCTAGTCAGAAATGAAGAAAGACAAATGACTGATCATGAAATAACTTACGCATATCATCGCAGCTTGAATATTATTGAGTTATGATAAGAAGATGAGAAAAATGCCGATCGAATAAGGATGAATGTGTAACGACCAGTTGTTGACAAGTTTTTGTCTAGCCTGTAGACAGGTACGTCGTTGCAGGGAGCGCGCAGAGCAGTGTGAGTTTGGTGCTGGCCACTAGAATCTGGAAAAGAAAAAAAAGGGAGAGAAGAAAGGTGAACCGACGACTCAGCAAGTACATAGGATGTACATACATTTAATAATAAAAGATAACTGACAAACGGTAGAGCTGGATAACGAAGAGGTGAGGCAGTCTATAAATCGAAACTCTAAGGTGAATGAGTAAGATTTCGAATGCGCTGCATGATAGAGATCTACTGAGTATACGTTTGTTAAGCTTTGTTCCTACAGCTTTCTAACTAAATTTTACTGAACAATAGGTGAAAAACACCATAGCAACTAGTATTAAAGTTTTAAACTGCTTTAGTGAATGCCTGTGTAAGAATGTTATCAAAGTTTTAGTTTTTCATTTCAATTTGTGTACCTGTCCAAACCACTTTAAACGTCACCCTGGACTACACTGGAATAACCAACTAAGTTTCCTTATTTTTTGCTAGAAAGGCAGATTTTCATAAAATAAATAAGTCGAATTGGTTATTTTAGCTGTTATTGTAGCGTAGTGTTTAAAGTCAATCATCTTTACAGTTCTATACAAATATGAATATTAAAAAAACAGATAACAAAGTGAATACGACTATTTCTCAATGAACTTACCAGGTTAACATATTTATGACCTTAAAATTGTTCGAATAAGTGAAATTGCTTCTGTCAACATTTTTTCAGAAAAGAAATAAGAGTAATGTATGCATACATTCAACTATAGTAAGCATGTACACTTTATCTATAAGCAAAAGTCTTATCAAAATGCTATACCAATTCATGCTATAATCTAATTTATAATATTTGTTTGGTTAATAATATGAAGATGATAGAACTAGCTACAATGATAAATTAGTACATAAATAGTATATACGGCTGATGAGGCTGGCACCAAATCAATATAACGGCTATTCTAGTGTTTAGATCACTTTCATCTGGTTAGTGAAATCGACAAGTCGATCTGAATGATTTCTAACTACTCAAGTTGTTCAGTAAGTAGTATATTTTGATAAATTAGTATTATTTACCAAAAAAATGACATTTAAACCGTTTTATGTTGAACCAATCATGTTAAAGTAATCATTGGTAACGTGAAAATTGTTTTTTTAAGTTTACATAAACATTTGAAAACTATAAGATCTTTTACAGCTCTCTCACAGGAGGAATTCGCTTACCAAACAATAAAACCTTAGGTCAATCGATTTTCAAATTTAGCTCATAATCCATATGTAACTAAATGGTCTGTATAGACACATTTGACTTTCGGCATTTCGATTTATTCTAGGGAGAGTAACTTTAACTCTTTTGAGGTAGCCAAATACCTCGTCATAGTTACCTCCCAGGGCACCAACGTGAAGGTCTACATAGTGCGGTTAAGTGATGTGGTGGTTCAACCCGGTCACCATAAAAGCCAGAATTGACATGTGCACTTGTGAATATTGACCGAGCCTACTTCGGCGACGATGATGAGTCTCCTTGTGACCACACTGGATTCTAACTGGTGCAGTTGACTTCGAGGTAATAGTGGTTGGTGAGATCTATATGCGCTGATCAGTGGCTCACATCTTCTAAGTATAGATGGCCCCACTGACCATCAAGGTTACGTCCTGCTAGCTGAAAGCAGTGTTTCAATACAAAGTAAGGGAATGTAGCTTCGTAATCCTGGTATTCAGTGGTGTTGAAGCAGTCTCAAGACAAGTGACCTGGCTTTTCCTTGTGGAGGTGGAGTGGTATTTAATCCGGATTACCGTACATCGTTCGTTGTAGCCAAAGCCTATTTCCCAAGCAACCTGAGAGGAGCCTCTTTTTCTTCCAGGGGAGGTGCATTGCACCACCTTTTGCAAAATTGTAGATAATCACTGAGACGTCTCTAATGCACGTCTTCCTAAGGGAAGATAAGTACGGTCAATGAGTCAACTAGCGAGTGACCACGGGTACGTTGAAACCTAACAGTTGGGAGGGAGGGATCCGTTGACCAATTTTGAAGGAGCGTTAACAGCGTGCTACGGCAACAGTGTTCGTTTTTGTGTGATTCCCTTACTAAATAGAAGTTTCTTGCTTGGTGAGGGGTTGATCACTTAGGTTAAGACAATATCACATCCAAACAGACGATATCCAGCCTGGGACTGAGAGCTGAGCCGGAAATCGGAGTGAAATTCTCTTTAGAGAATGAATAATTTTGATGTGATTGCAATTAAGAAAAGCCAATGTAATGAAGTTTATACAAGATTTTAGCTTTGTCATATATAAAAAAGCCGTTATCTGTAAAGAGATGCGTTCACCTTACCTCCATAGAATGTATAATCAATACACAAAACTTCTTATTACTATTTCATACTAATCCTTTATGAACAGCCCCCACAAACAATGAGAGATGTGCTCTTTTATTGCCAAGCCAATACTGCAAACATCTCCACTGTTTCTTTTATGGTTGAACGTGTCATTGGTCATTAATTAAAACTGTCCCTGACAATCCTGTACTAGCTACGTCAAAGAAAAGTTATAGATTATGGTGACATTGTTGTTGAACAAGAATTCATTTGCCTGGCTTCTTTCTCCCCACTTGATTAAATCCTAAGGTGTTAAATAGTCGAACTGAATCGTGTAGAAGCTTTGAACCTAGAGTTTGTGCATACTAGCTCAGATCATTAATCTATAAACTTACGATAATCTATGCTCCTCTAAAGATAACAACCTATGTGACCCAGTACCTGAGTGACAGACTTTGTCATCACGTAATTTAAATTAAAACAAACTGCCAGTAGGACTGAATTATAAGCATGAATCAATCACTTGATGATAACCATTTCATTTGTCTAACCTGATTATCAGTCACAGTAAAACTATCCATTTTTGAGCAGTTCAGTAGTTAAGCGGCTTAGTTCAATACTGACTCATGTTTTCATCACTAAGGGAATGTAATTCCGCAGGTATAACCTATTGATAATTACTGACATGTGGAAAGACTTGTTCCTAGGCTTTTTACAACATTGAAATCTAAAAACATTGCGTTGTGTTTTGTTTTCGTTACGTCATATGTTTCACTGAGCATATCGTAGGTTGTTACTGGTGACTACTTTAAACCAGGCAATTACTTAGCTAACCATCTGACGACCAATCAATGAATATCATTAGGATTAAGTTGACTCTCAACAGAGTTTCCAGGAACACAAATTTTCTAAACTAGTTTCGTACTCATTTCAAAGTCAACTCTAAAGGTCATCCTGACAACCACTGAAAAGACCAATTACACACTTTATAAAATCAGCTTTTCCAGCGAAAATAAAGAATCCTAATTCAACTTTTTAGTTGCTGCTAGGGTGACCTTCAGAGTCACTC